GAGACAGGCTAAATTTAGTAGGAAGATGGCTTAATAAACCTTTTTTAATTGATGATAAAGTAATGATTCATTTTTAGCCCAAATTTCGCGTAATGTTCAGTGATACTCTGTGTCAGCAATTAAGCATGATTAATTGTTCTTTTCAATATTTAAATAAGGCGTTTTCAAAAAAGGACCGAAGGAAAACGCAAAAACCATCAGAAAGTTAATAATACTCCCATTGAAGACATGTCTGCCATACTTTAGAATATTGCATTCATAACAGAAAACTCAGTGTTTTCCTTCAGTTTCAGAAATTGTTTACCTTTCACTATTTTTTAGAGGCGTTACGGACTAATTATTAAACCGGGCCATAATGAAATTGCCGTTTTCAAATTTGGACCATCAAATGTGAAAATGCAAAAAATGCAGAAAATATATTAATAATACAGTTTCATACAATATCAACACATTAAAGCTTTCCAACGGTTTTATATAATAATTTTAATGAAGCTTTTAGCATTTGAAGGTATTTATTAGCATAAATGCCATAGCAGGTTTCATTAAATAAACAATAATGTGGAATTAACAAAATGTATGTTATACCTTCAAAGAGTGTGCATTAATTTAGCAAATTTATTTTTCTTGTTTTTCACTCATCTTTCTGATACGATTAAATCGTTTCATATATTTAATAATGTATAAAACGTTTTAAATTTAACAAAACCGGCTGAATTTATTAAGTAAAAAAATTTAAAATGAGGCTAAAACATTGAAAAAAAATTTACCCCAAAATTTAGCCAAATGTTCAGTAATCGTTCAAGTCGTCAAGAAAAGTTATTCAAAATTTAAGCAAATTTAAATAATTAAGGAAAGCGCGAAAGTGATAGATTGGCTTTGTTACATTCATTAAAGAAATGTGTGTCATACTCAGCCGGATTGTGAGCAGAACATTAGTTTAAGGCCTTAATTAAGGCACGTCGATTTAATCAAGACGAGAACTCTGTTTTGCAGTCGGCGAGTCAACAAGTACCTGCTAATCGGCTAATTGGCTTCCACATTTAAAATGTTATCTGACATTCCTAAATGTTAATCCGAAGGGCGGACAGATTTTGTATTCTTACTTTTAACTCTCTCTCTAAAACTTACCATCATCGAAATATGGCACAGCAGCATGTGCCAATACGAGTACGCAAGAAGCCAGCACGAGCCAAGCGATCTTCATGTCTTCTACGGAAGACGACGGAGAGCGCACTGAACGTCGGACGAGCGTCGTGGCGTGGAGTGAAACGTCGAGCGATTGAACGACGCCCTGCGATCCACAAGGGCATGCGGTTTTCGTGCTCACGCCCACGAACATATGGAAAGTTTTGTTGCCAATTTGCGAAACTCTATTAAAGGCCAATTATTCCTATTAGCTGCTCCATGCTGCGTTATCGGCTCTCCTGCCAGTGTTGCTTTTAACATTATAATATTTTCCTATTTTATTTTGTTGCCACTTTACATCAAAAGAGAGTAACAAATACCAATATAACTTCGAGCAACTCAGTCGATCAAGAATTGCATGCAACCTATAATTTGCGGTATTCCTTATCCATACAGGGCATTAAATGTGGCCTTGTGGCATCTATAATTTGGGTTGCACTTATATAAAAGACACTGCAGCAAAGGCAGGTCCTTTTTGAGTCTTGGTGTGAAAGCAACATGAGGTTTCTTGTGAAGTTGATGATGATATTTCTGGTCGAAAGTAGCTGGGGACATTTCCAGGAAAACTTTGCTAAGAGAAGTGAAAGAGAGAACAAGATGCCGCAAGAGGTGCAGGAACGATTACGAACTCCCCCAAAGCTCAACTTGAAGCAAAGCCTGGCAATGAACCAAGTTGTGAACTTCTACACTCTAAAAGAAGCTTCCAGTGAGCTTTGTAGGAATCACTCCATGGAATTTAGTGCGGGACTGCGAAGCTTTGAGCCCTGGGCTTTGAAAAGTGGGCAAAAGCCTCAAAAACCGTTCCACCAGAAAATTGGCATATTTTTTCCAGTGTTTGATGCATCGTCCAAAATGCAGTCTGGAATCCTAGCTGGCAATTTATTCAACTTTGGAAGCTTCGATCAATGCATTGCAGTCCAAGCCGAGACCGCGTACGGTCCTTTGAAAGGCAAACATTGCACTTTAAAGCTTCGCCCAGACACGGCTTTGCTGAAGAAAATCCTCAGCTACAACAACATTTCCGAAAAGGTCCTCCAAACCTTTCCACGGTTTTTCCCAAATTAACGTTGCCTGCATGTTTCAGTAGAGATGGGATCAAGTGAAGATTTTCGTCGAAAATGCCACGCTGGATTGGTCGATTTGCGTACCCGATTCTTGTATCAGTTCCGATGTGTTGCCGCATTTTCAGATGTTAATGGAAACTTTAACGGAGGGACTAAACCTAACGGTTAATCTAAAAGAGATGAACTGTCTGATGGAGGTTTCTGCGGAAAGATTCAGCTTTTTTGAGCTGGCGGTTATGTAAGTTTGGGGAAGGTCTTGTGAAGGAACTTCTTTTTGGAATATTATTGCAAAATTCAATGGCCAAAGGGAAAAGCTGGTATTCCTTAAGCAAAACGTTGGTACAAGTAGGACAACGCGACTCGTTAACAGAAACATAAGGAAATAAGATTTAATTTCCAATTAAAAGTTTATTGAGTTTGTTTTCCAGATTTGGAATGTTGGCATATGTTGGTTTTATTGCGATATTAACAGCCATCGATCTCAATGCCCCCAGCCGCGAAAGTAAGGTTCTTCTGGTGTACAATTGAAAACTCAACCCTCAACTAAGTTTTTTAGGCAAAAGTAATCAGTTGCTGTCAATATTCTCTGCTAGTCGCAACGCGATTAAAGTATTTGCAAGGTCTGCCAAAGGTTCGTCTTAACTACAATTAACTATACAAAAAATTCCATAAAATGTTCATATTTTCCTGCTTAAAAAGCTTATTTTTAGCCCGTCCTGATTTAGATTGCGTTCATGGAATCCGCTTCATCAGTACGTGCTACGTCATTATAGGGCACCGATATCTCATGATGATGTTTTTTCCTGTAATAAACAGCCTACAGATCATAAATGTAAGTTTCCTTTTGCATTCGACGCCAATTTATTATTTTCTTTTCGTAGTGGACTAGTTATTACAGAAGCACAGCGATAACGGGAGGCACTCTTTGCGTGGACACGTTTTTTATGATCAGTGGCATGCTTGTAACTATTGGGTTCTTCGAACAGGCGTCAAAGGGGAAAGTTAATTGGTTTTTGTTTTATTTCTATCGATACATCAGAATCACACCGCCACTGGCTATAGTTATTTTGTGGTAAGCTGGAGAAAGTCGTTTTGTTGGTAAGATTGCAGCAGAATTGCAGGTATTGCACTTTGATGCACCACTTTGGCTCTGGGCCTTTGTGGAATGATATGCTGGACATAATCCAGAAACCTTGCCAGCAGTACTGGTGGGCAGCAGTTTTGCATATTCAGAACTACGTGCATCCATACCCTTTGGTCAGTTAAGTGCAAATTTCAACTCCTCTTCCTAAAGAAACTTTTGTGGTTTTAGTGCTTGACTCAAATCTGGTACCTCACATGCGATATGCAGTACTACTTCCTTTCTCCAATTATCCTCATCCCTTTTCGCAATGACCAAGTCCTTGGTTCCATCAACTTTGCTCTCCTCTTCAGCCTATCGGTTGCTGTTAACTTCTACCTGGCCTGGGCTCATAAATACAACGGAGGAGTTCCAGTAACGTGCGTCTTCGTGGTTTTCCAAAAAAAAAACGCTTTGCAAGTGAATTTTTCTGCAGAAATGAGCTGTTTGCCACAGAATATTTCCAGCACCACTACATAGCTCCGCATGTGCGATCCTCAACATACATCCTAGGATTAGGCTTTGGGATGCTAATCTACAACCAAAAAGGGAAAGAATGGAATGTTAACACTGCGTTTGTTGTAGCGGGATGGTTGGTTTGTGCGGCTACAATGTTGGCTTCAATGCTGGGTAAAGATGAACAAATTTAATAAATTTCCATTAAAACCTGCAGTTTTGGAACAAAAGAATTTTTGGTTAATTTTTCAATTGCGCTCTTCAAAACTTGAAATGTACCACCATGTAAAACAGGAATCAAAATTACTTTTCTCTTGAAAACTTTAATGAAGTTCAATCTTCTATTTATTAGATGCAAAACCGCAACAGTTTCTCTCAACTTTCAAACCAAATAAAGAAATCTTTGGAAATTATTAGGTCACATAGAAAGAGCGTCGAGGAATATTCAAAGAAAAATAAATCGATTTTTTGAAACCTTCCAAACTTGAGCTAGAAAAGGAACAGTCAAGAATTCATGCACAGCTTTAGAAAAATATTTGTAACTCCCAAACTAAGAAAAAAYATTTTTAATTTTTTTTTGGCTACATAGAAAGAGTCTCAGGACATATTGAKAAAAAAACTCGAGCCTGAAAACASTAAAAAGTTCRTACATAGTTTTGGAAAAATATTTCTACCTCCCAAATKAGAACACAAAACCAATTGGGTGGTTTAGRRSWCATAGMAAARKCATSACAGAAKRTTCTSGAAAAACATCAATTGAATGATTAAACCTGCTGATTTTTTAAACCTTCTAAACTCGAGCCAGAAAAAAAATAGCCAGGAAGTCATGCAGAGGTTTGGGAAAATTTACSAGAAAGCAAATCCTTTTGAAATTTTCGGAGCACACACACATCATACGTACTGATTTTCMRAAACCTTCCAATATTGWGCTTGAARAAAAACAGTCAAGAGTTCATGCAAAGCATCAGAAAAAAATGTTAACTTCCAACTGTGCTGCAACTTGCATAWASGTAYTRATTTTTTCAAACCTTCCAAACTCGAGCTTGAAAAAAACAGTTAAGTGATCATGCAAAGCTTTGGAAAAAATTGTAACTTTCAACATGGTCCACGAATTATTTTAATATTTTCTGTGCACATACACAACGTTTGAARAAAAACAGTCAMGAGTTCATGCAAAGCATCAGAAAAAAMWGTTRACTTCCAACCTGGTYCRCGAATMWTTTTAATATTTTCKGWGMACRTACCCAACGTCTGCCGGAATATTCRTCRAGRAAAYCAATGAAATCCATAAASGTACWGAKTTTTTMAAACCTTCCAAACTCGAGCTTGAAAAAAACAGTTAAGWGATCATGCAAAGCWTWMGAAAAAAAATTGTAACTTCCAACCTGGTCCGCGAATCTTTTTAATATTTTCGKAKCACATACCYAACGTCTCCCGGAATATTYSTCAAGAWAATCAATGAAATYCATAAACRTACAGAGTTTYTAAAACCTTCCAAACTCGAGCTTGAAAAAAWCAGTTAAGWGTTCATRCAAAGCTTCRGAAAAAAAATTGTWACTTCCAACAACCTGGTCCACGAATCCTTTTAATATTTKCTCSGCACATACACAACATTTGCCGGAATATTCATAGAGAAAATKAGTAAAATCCATAAACSTACTGAATTTTGAAAACCTTTCAAACTCGAGATTGAACAAAAACTTGATGACTCTTGGGTCTTGAAGTCATGACACTTGAGTGAGTTCCTGATTMTTGACAGTTTTTCCCAAGCTTAKGAAAAAAATTCTAACTCCTAACCCAACTAGCGAATGCTTTTAAAATTTTCGGAACACATTTATATCGTTTCAGGGAATATTCAGGATGAAAATCAATCGAATTCATAAACGTACTGATTTTTTTTAAACCTTCCGAACTCGAACCTGAAAAGAAACAGCCAAGAATTCACGCACAGCTTTAGAAATTAATTTCTAATTCGCAAACTAGACAGAGAATCCTTTTTTGATTTTTAGGACGCATATAAATAGAGTAAAGCAATATTCACAAAAAATCACTAGAATCTATGAACGTTTTTTTAAAACAGATTTTTTGAAACCTTCCAAACTCCAGTCTGATAAGCATAATCCCAAGCTCCTGAAAAGCTCGGTAAAAATATTTCTCATTTCCAAACCAAGCACACAATCACTTTGAAAGTTTTACAGTGCACATAAAGGTGAGCATTAAAAGCGAAACTTTATCATTAATTTTTAAATTTGGCCTCAGAACTATTAAAAGGTTTCTTCTATAACTTTTCGCTGCGATAATAGAACTTAAAACTCTTGCAACCAATGAAAACTGATGTTTTGATGTAAGGGTATAAACTGAAGTTGCGTATTCAACCAACAAAATCACATATTTATTTTTTGTAAACAGTTAATAATAATTATTATTATTTGCGAGGTTGTCACGTTTTCTTCGTGGAAGAACATGACTACAACAGACTTGAATCTTCAATATACTTGGCTGCAAGTCGGTCTGCTTGGACGCTTGGGATTGGCTGGATGGTCTGGGCCTGCATCAATGGATATGGAGGTTTGGATGCTTCATTCTTCCTCCAACTTATTTTATTAAGAAATTTCCGTCTAGGTCCAATCAATTTCATTTTATCACTGCATATATTCCGGGTATTTGGCAAGATCAGTTATGGGATTTACTTGCTGCATATGGGAATGCAGTACATGATAAGCGCTGCAGCCCGAACTCCGCACTATTTTTCGGACCTTGCCTCGGTAAAATGAGTTTTTTTGCCTATTTGAGATGCTAATTTTAGCGTTTTTAATCTCAGATGTACGCAGCAGTGAGCGATCTATTCATAATGGTTTTTTGTGGCTTTGCATTTACGATTTTGTTCGAATCGCCCTTGGTTCAAATGCTGTCACTGCTTGCAAGAAAAGGTAAAAGTTGCGAATAAATGTGCACTTTTGAAGAAAGTGGAGTTTCAGGAAATATGAAACGGACCGTCGAAGTGAAGCCACTGAACCGCCATTAGCGAAATATTCCTGGTTTTTAGCAAATTAGTTAGTAATATACAACGTTTTTTTGCTGATGATCGGGTGTTTGGAAAGGAAGTGGGCAAAAACTAAAATTCAAAACGGTTTTAATGTCTGGACTAAAACAGTAACTATAGCTAAGTATTACAAAAAAATAAATAAATAATTATTTACAAAAACAACGTTGATTTCAAAGTGGGAAATGCGACTCCATGATGAAACCTGAATATAGACATTCTGGACTATCTTATTTTCAAGTTCAGCAAACCAAATAAATGTACGTTTTTATCGAAAAGTTTATCAAGATATTCATATTCCATTGAGAATTATTGTCACCTAGATGTCATTGAAATGTTCTCGATAGCGCAAATTTTTCGAGAAGGGCTTTCCATGACTACGCAAAACCGTATGAGAAGAAATCAAACGTACCGAAGTTAAAGAATCACATTTCAAACAGTTCAATAAATAAATAAATAAACATGGAGTGGAAGAAGCAAGTGAAATAGATTGAGATTAATTGCAAAAGTTCCAATTTCATCGCATTTTAACGCAAGTCGACTCAATCGATGTTGGCAAAAACGACAGAAACATATTCATGCAATACTAACACACTTTTTCAACRAGCAAAAGTTTTTGCGGATRCAAAAAGCCATAGGTACAGAACMAACGGAAATGATKAAGCCCAAATGTTCATTCATGTATCCAGTTTCTAGCAGCAACATTCGWTTTTCAAGAGGTCGCATCCTCCATCGAGATYATGTATAAAAAARACCCCCGAATCTGGCAGCTTCTARCTCGGTTTCTGTTCGCCGCACTTGGGATTCTTGCTGTACTTTCGGTGGATTTTCTCCAACATTTCATTGTAAACATCTTGATTCTTCTTCACRTAGGGCACCCTCCAAGGCTCGTCTTTGCGCTTGGCGGTCTTAATTCCCGGCCAGTGGACCAAAAACGCACCATCCAGAAGCACAACTGTGTATCCATTCAGACACATTTCGTACATCTAAAGGAAAAAACATTCAGAAATCCCGAACTGTGCTTGAAAATTTGCGTGCATCTACCTGGAGCATTTTGTCTTGGAACCCTTCCCATGAAAGTTTCTCGGAGTATATTGGCTCGGTTCTGGTGCCGATGTAGATGGGTTCCCATCGGTGATATGGAATTTCGCGTTTGGTTTCCAGCAAAGGCTTCACAAATAAATATCACACTTATAACCAATCCATGGGCTTGAGGACAACGAACACTCACTTTGATTATATCTCCAGGTTCGCTTTCCTTCCACTGGTCCAGCCCTGGAAACTTCTGGCAATGTACGCAAGTGAGCTGATGGAAATACACAGCCTTGTGATCTCGCATGAGATTCACCAGCTGCCGTTTGTTACGCGGAAGATCTTCCTTACTGTCCACCTCAAAAACGGGTACCACAAATATTCGTTTTTTACAGTTGGGTGCTTCGCACTTGTAGCTTTCGGTCATGTCGATAAATCGACTCGCTAGACCTAAATTTTGAAAAGCACTGTCAATAGAACACCCTGTATGTAGTTGAACTCCTCGGAACTTACCTTTACTAGGCATCAGCTCAATGTCGGATACTAAAACGAAGTCAGTCTTGGCGGCTTCTCTGGCCGCGTTTCGACACACGTTTATTGGATACCAGTTGGTGGGATCTACAATAATGAGCGAAGCTTTCGATCTAAACTCTGGAATAATTTTATATGTGAAAAAGAAATTGTGTATCAAGTACCATGAGGTTTCGTGTCGCGGCTGCTATTGCTGTTAATCGACGTTCTAGTGAGCTCGTTAGCCTCACAAGTTTGAGGAGGCATTGGCTTGCTCAGGTAGAAACTGGGTTCTGAATCCTTCCTGAAACTCCTGGCTTTTGAAAGCATTGAGCTGCAAATCCGTCGGGCTACTTACTTAAACACCAAATGCAAGGAAAGTCTGGACATCTGAGGAATGCAGTAGCAGAAGTGCAAAATGCTTTGTAAAATATCCTTCGGGTTCCCATCTGGGATGTAGACTGCTACACTCACTGCTCCTTCCCAATATCTGTTTTTGCATCAACAGCATATTATTTTGGTCATTTTGCAGTGTTCCTCAGCTTACCTGACGATTTCGGCTAAATGCAAGACAAATTCTTTGGTCAATTGAGTGACATAAGTTACTCCTGGATCCTCATCTCCTAGTTGACTCTCAATCACATTGTATAGGATGCGAAATTCGCTGCTTTCCTTCAATTCTGGTGTTCCTGATATGTTATTCTTGGCATAAGCGAGCTGAGTCGGAAGCCCGAAGTTCATCTTGCAGTAACTCCCGCTGGCCTTTGGCTTCAAGTACTTGGAGAATTCTAAACGGTGATATTTTAAGAGGTAATAAATGAACTGCAAGATCCCTAAAGTACCTCCAGGCAGTCTTAGACGCCGAGCGCTTGGCAAGTCGACGATTTTTGCATTTCGAGCAGTTTGGACGTTGTTGAGCAGGAAAAAAAATGTGGACACCAAACAGAACATTATGACGATGAGGGACAAGTATCTAGATGTGATCATTCGAGGAATAGCCGCCATCGTGTGCATTCATTGTTAACTGGAAACTGGAAGCGGATTACGGATTCGTCCCAAAACTGTAACAACATTCAATTATTTAACGACTGAGCGATGTCGTTAATGTTTGCTCAGTGCTTAAGGTTCCAGCAATTATTTGAACAGCAAATCCCTCCGAAATGAGGCTGCTTGGGTGGCAATATGTGAGGCAATTTCCCGTTTTACCGGCTAAAAAACGTTTCGTTGGCAGTAGTATTCTTGAATTCTATTTGGGTTTTTGAACTGTGTGAGCAGCAGAAGGGGAATTGTTTCGGTTTTGCCCATTTTCAGGTAGTTTAAGGTAAGAAAAGGCAGTTGAAGAGGAAAGGGTTTTAGTGGGTCGGGGTGCGCTCCATCCCCACACTCCCCCAGGTGCCCAAACACCAATGCCTGGGGGGTCTGACAACAGATTTCCCAAACCTCTCAAAAAAAAGAAAAGGTAGTTTAAGGTAAATTCGCGAAATTTTTCAACAGGGTTTTTTGCTGTTTTTTGACCCCTAAGATCCAGGGATCCAACAACATTGTTGTTGCTGGAAATTCTATTTAATGCGGTCTAGAAGTTTAATTCTAGATACTCTATGATGTTTAAACACACTTTTAACGTTTTTTTAATCTTGTGCAAATTTGTCTTTAAGAGACGCACTGAGTTGTAGGCATTTATTTATATTTTAGAAATGTTTGTGGATTGACAGAATTTAAAGAATTTTGAAGCGGAAAATCGTGCGACTAAGCAAAGGTGAATTATGTCCTTTTTTGCATTTCACTGATGAAAAATCAGCGGTAATTTTGAAGATATTTTCTAATTTTAGTCATTTGATTTTGACGCTTCTGCGAAGATCTGTTTAGCAATAGTTTTCGCCTGATTTTAAAAGAATAAGAATTTGCCTGCTTTGCGCTTTATAGAGAAAATTTACAAGCTTTCATAATTGCCACACCAGAGTATCGACTTTCTGTTACTTTATTTTTTAATATGTACAATATTTTCTCGTTATATTTTTAATCTTTTGCGTTGGCGAGTTGAAAATGAGATTGCAGAACCATTAAATTTCCGCTTGCCATCATCAATAATTTATAAGAATTTAATTATTTTTAGATGCCTCTAATGATATTTTTCAGGCCATAAAAGTGGATTCTGCCGGGTGTTAAGTTCTGACTTCTGACGAATTTCGACCGAAAATTTCAACTTACCTTCATAATCAGGACTTTTTTAATACAAATTTTCTAGATGGATATAAACTGATATATTGAATATATTTCTTGAATATACAGGGTGATTCACAAGCATAGAGGACCTCAAAACAAATCAAGTTTCTATAGAAATTTTTTTTCTCAGGCCCATAGTTAACAAGATACAAGGGTGTTAAAGTTTCAAAAAACTGTTGGTATCTTCTCTTTAATTCCTACAGTTTATGAGATGTTCTGTTCAAATTCTTAACGTGGGCTAATGTTTAGACTTTACCCGTAGGTAAGGCGACTGGTTGTGAAAATCTACAGGGTGTTCTTTTTTCTAGAGGCATACCCCCACGAACTTTTTTATGGTGCGCCACTGACTTGGACCGAACACATTTTTACATTTCTTGGTCAATTTAAGAATTTTCTGATCTCTTGTAGTTTTTTCGTATATGTCTTTGTTTTCGAGTTATACACAAATATAAGTCCATGTAGGATTTCTCGGTGATTTTCTATGAATTTTTTTATAATTTTTTTTGTATCTTTTTGTTCATATTTTTCTGTGAAAGCTTTAAGTGCAAGTTGAAGTTAAAATAGGGATGGCTGGCGCGTTAATTTTAAAATTTGTTTTTTTATTATAAATTAATTTACAATAATTGAAGTTTATCGGCTTCTATCCAATAAAAATGCACAAACATGTAACAAATATTTCAGTTTATTATGACATTAATTTCTTTCCCAAAAAAAATTGAAGAAAAGGACGCAAAAAATTATATGAAAATGCATGGAAAATCATGCAGGAACCCTACATAGACGTATATTTGTGCATATAACTCAAAAACGAAGCCAGATACAAAAAAAACTGCAAGAGACCAGAAAACAGCAAATGTAAAAATGTATGCGGTCGAAGTCATAAGCGCACCACAAAAAAGTGCGGGGGGGTAAAAGGGGGTATGCCTCTTTAAAAAAGAACACCCTGTAGATTTTCACCTTCAGTCGCCTTACCTACGGGCCAAGGGTCTAAACATTAGCCTACGTTAAAAATTTCAGCAAAACATCTCAAAAACTGTATCTAAACATCCTGTATCTTGTTAACTATGGGTGTGAGAAAAAAAACTTAAATAGAAACTCGATTTGTTTTGAGGTCCTCTATACGCCCCGGCTCTGTGTCCATAAGGTTGTGAATCACCCTGTATATGTATATTGAGTATAAAAGATGAATTTAACACAACGAAACTAAACGACGTAAATTCGAGTTTTTCCTTCTTATAGGTAAAATTAACTGTGAATTTTTCAGATTTCATCTCGTGTGATTGTCGAGCATTCTGACGGCATTTTAAAATAAATTAGATTTTAAATAAATCGAAATGTTTCAAACTTTTCCTTTCATTCGATGATAAAAGAAAAAGTTTCTGTCTTTTTCGAGGACAATTTTAGGCATTTTTCCAAGATGTGTCTATCAATAATGATCCTGCCTAATGTCGCGTTTTAAAATAAGTAGCAGCTTTAAATCCAGCCCGGTAAACCTTTAAAGCTCCCAACACGCCCCCATTACTGATCAACATAATCCAGTTGTTTTCCAAGTAAATTCTCGAGTTAAATTGGGAAAATTAACTGTTATACAGTGGGTTTAAACGTCCAGAACGTGAAGCACCAAGTGCAAGATAAATACCTGGCAATTATAATATAAATGAGTCGAAAAATGCTGAGATTTTATTCACATCGTACAGTTTTCCACCACTTTTTTCCGCAGCATGTTTGCTAACCACTGTTTATATTGAGGGCTTCGATTTTCCTGCAACAACAGCGCCACCGCCGAGGAAAACTGCCAAAACAAGTGGCGGAAAATCGCAAATATTTAAACCATGAAATTCGATATTTTCAATCGCTTGCCTGAATGTTTAGGTAATAGTTGGCCAATAAATTTGCACAAATCAAGATTTTTCTTTGAATATACCTAATTCACTTTTACAGCATTGTCGGCTTTGAAATTCTCCTAAACCGTAAATTTGGGCATAAAGTTAATCCGATAAGATCTGATGGTTTATTTGCTCTGCGCTTTTGCAATTTAAATTGACACCTACAAAGTTTTCTTGATAAATTGTCGATATTAAAGCGCCAAGGTTGAGGAATAAAATGAAGAAATAAAAACACGCCAGCTTCATTTTGTAGAAACACTCAAATCCGGTGTTTTTCAAACCGGCGAAATGCAAATCATTTATTAGGCCCAGATAAAGGCATTTAATTAAAAATGTTTGCATATTTTAAGCCAAATGTTTATCAATGGCAAATACTCTGGCCATTGTTTGGAAAAATTGTAATTAGTAATTCTAGGCAATAAAAGAAATGGATATTCAAAAAAAATTATTATTGAACTAACATTTTATTGAATTTAATCAATTGAAAAATCAAAAAAAAAGTTAAGAAGGTTGATTTATTTTATTTTGAATTAACAGCCAGTTGTTCTTTATGCAATTTTTCCGGGTGAAAAATTTAAAGTTTAAACAAAAGGCCATTTGAGTTGAAAATTGCACTAAGTAAAGCTGGAATCATTCACATAACTTTTCGGAATAAATATTAAACTCTTACCTAGAGCTTTTCAAACTGGAAATCTTGAGAAAAAAGGTAAATTCGAGCACCACAATTCGAAAGTTGAACGAAAGCAAGTACAAACTCCGAACAGCCAGTTAACACAATATTTCACCCACTACAGTTTACATTTTTATACAATCAGCATCCAGCCACAGAAAACCAACCTTATCTACTTCATATATTAATAAATCCCATTACTTTGATAACAATTTATTAGAAAACAGAGCTTAAATAAGATTAACTTCATACATAGAGGATGTCATAATGGCTGGGACGGTACAGCAAATGAACTGTTGGGGTACAGCCTTCGGGTAGATCGTGTTGCGTTACATTCGATCCAGTTCCTCTATCCATATACAAAACTCGAACTCCCGTGTTCAAAGCGGAGCAGGCTGCCATTATATGAATATGGTCACTGTCTTTAAACATTGGTTCGACTTCTTGATGGCAAAAATCCACAATCTTGAAAAAAAAATGTGCAAGTGACTAAAAAGTTCTAGATTCACAGCAATGCTGTTCAATTTTCACACGAATCCAGAATTAATTTTTTCCACACCCAGATCTGAATCATTCTTTTTCAGTCGGGCTTTGAAATGAATTGTTGGGAATGAATTTGAAATTCATACCCAACCTCTACTAATTTCCTTAAAGATATTCAAATATTTGAGCGCGGATTTAATATTTTAATTGATTACGAATTGGCCATTTATGACAGATATTATCAGTTAACGGAATAATAATTATGAATAAGTACAAAGATAATTTGCACTTTCGCATTTTGTGACTTTCTCACGCTATGATTTATTGGGATTAGTATCCTTTTTAAGTGATTAATACTATCATTTTCTGATTCCGGTTAACAATAGTATATTTTTAAATTTTATATTTGACTGCATTTAAATGAGTGTGGCACGATTATCTTCAGCCAAAGTCTACAACTTAACTTACGGTCCTATCGCCTTCAATAAAACAGCTATAAAAATCCTGCTCTTTTTGCAATTGAGCGCTAGTCAACAGTCGAAGGTATACGACCATATAGTCAGAGTATCCCTGCTCATTGAAGATCGATTGCAGTTCTTTCTTGGCTTCCTCCACGCTTTCTATATCTGCCAGTCTTTTAAGCACCTCCATGTACTAGAAGAGAGCAACAGGATTTTCTTGGGACTTTGTTCCGAAATATTCACCTACTGTGTCGTAGAAATCTTCAACAGTAAACTGCTGAAATCCCAGTTCGACTAGAACATCCTTGCTATTCTCTGCTAATTTATAAAACTTATTAAATTCCTCCTTATCGCTCAGTAAGCGCTCGAGAGTCGCGTAACTGAAGGCCCTGAAGAAGCAATTGCCATCGGGGCGTGTTCTTCTAATTGAACGGTATTTGGAGGCCAAGTCTTTTATTTTTCCTAGATAAACCTCGTCGGTTGAGTATTCAGAGTTGAGTGATAATATGGAATCGGGCTCTCCAACCAATGGAATGGCTTCAGATATCTGGAACAAAGAAAAACAAAAGAAAGAGAGAAGACTAAAGAGAAGACGTTACGTTTACTAAAGAGAAGTTTGGTCAAATGGGTTTATTTTGTTCGTCTTTTTAATTGGTTGTTTGCTTGCTCCAGTATTGCTACCTCGGCAAACGCTTGTCCTCGAGACCCTAAATATTTGTTGGTTTATTTAAGCAGCGTAAAAGCCTTTTTTTCAAGCAAGTACTCATAGCGCAAACAGGGCTCTGCCAGGTATGACACACATAAAGAAATGGACTTCTATCACTTAACGTTAGCGCCAATGACTCCCTTGAGCGATTACAAGCGCCAATAAAAGGGACTTTGTCAGCGGCAGTTGAATAAAATTCAATTATACCCCTTTGCGTTTGAAACCTTTTACCTCTTGCTCTATTTGCCTCTGTTGAGCCAAGATGAGTTCATCCTGATTCGCCGTTGGCTCGCTGTTCTGGCCTGAACGGTTGGCAGGAGTTTCGCCGTCGTCTCCCATTTTAGCAATTTTGCGAAACAATCCGGATTAGCGAAAATACGAAAATCAATCGGATGCTTCAAAACAAACCAACTTTTTATCACTACTGTCAAAGTGACAATTTCAGAAACGACCTGTGTTGGCACATACTGCTTAATGGCGGCGGATGCGCTGACGTTAAAGCATTAGGCCAGGAGATGGCGTGAGCGGCAATATGTTTTCTCACTCTCCAAATTGGTGGTTTTTTTCCAAAATTGTGCTCAAAATTGCCGTTTTGCCAATAGCTTAAATCAAAAGCGAGTTTTTGAAAAATTAACAAAACTGCTAACAAATCTTTCCTTTCTAGATCTAGAACTGTCTGGATCTAGAACTATCTAGATCTAGAACTGTCTAGATCTAGAACTTTCTAGATTTAGAACTAGAATCTGGAACTTCCTTGTTGGAACTGCATTGTTTCAGTGGCTGCTTCGATCCAATTTATTTTAAGGTGTCTATAATTAATTGCAAGTTTGATCGTTTAGGTCAGGGTCTACTCTGATTGTTTTCGTTTTTTTTTACTTCATTAGCGTTAGTTCAGTAATTTTCGTCATGTGGCCTTGTTCAAGCAATTTTAGATAGTCATATTTGGCACGTTTAGCCGATACTTTAATTGCCTCAAAAATTCCACGCTAAAAAGGCTCAAGTCAAGCAGTTAACTGAAAATGGAAATAGTTAAAAATGCACTTAAAATAAATTTAAAAAAGCACTTTGGAATACCATCAATTTGCTATGGTTGTACAAATAAATGAATCATTCTCATTGAAGTTATTAACTGATGCGTGATGGTCTATAACGGTCTTGTAATTGATGTTCCAATTGCATTCTGGAGAAAAAGCAGTGGCGGGTCAAAGGAAAAATTACCCAAACTTTCTACGAAAGGATCGAAGCGAAACGAGCACGTTCCAAGCAAAAAAAAAGAGCGCCGCTCGAGCAACTTGCGATGGGTTTTCCTGAATTTATTGAACAGTTGGGCTTAAAAATTCGCAAAATCTTAAATATGTTCATAAACTAGCAAAAAATGTTTGCATTTACAAGTACGCCCATGCTTGAAGGTTCGTTCCAACCCACTCCTGCAATGGATCGATGATTCCAACAGTGCGAATGGATTTGCCGGCCAGCGCAGTTTCAGTATAAATAAGCCGAAACGTTTTGAAATTTTTATTCGAACAAAAGCGATTTTATTCAGTGAAAATGCCGTCTCCTTGTTCTACCTGTGACGGTAATTCATCGGAAAAGATTCGTTCTTTCACCACTTTACTAGTGATTTTATATTTTTCAGATTCCTGCAAAGATTCCCAATCCTGCGGAACCGATTGCAAATGTGGCCCGAATTGCAAATGTTCTGAAAAAACGGGTAATGTACACATTTTTAGTTTTGAGGATACAATTTTTATATACAAAAACAAAGGGAAAGCAAACAATTAATTTTTCTTTTGGAGTTCGCTGCAACAGAATCCGATAGGTCTGATTAAATTTAAATTTTTTACTTCTGCGTAGTTCTTTAAACATTTTTCGTTTTTTCTGTGAAGAACTGGGGACAATCCTCTCTAAAAGAAGTGGGAAAACGTTTATTTTTATTTTTCTTTATACAGACAAACCAGCAAATATCTAATGCTCTTTATTAATTATTAAAATTATTATTTTTAAGATGTTTTTTTGCAGAAAGTTGCCCGTGTCCATCTGGGGCCGACCATGAAACTTGCGACAAAAAGTGAAGCTAAAATATTTACAGTTCAAAATGCTTGGCGAAGGATTGTCAGTTAGTTTATTCTGTATTTAAACAAACATGTATGTTAAAGGAATTATTTTTTGTATGATTTCAAAACCAAATTGGAATTAAATATTTATTTGAATGAAACCATGAACTGTTATTTTTCTTATTCATTCTTCTCAATCCTGGAGAAAGAAACGGTAAAAAATAACGAAATAATAATTAAAAGCGTCCGGAAATCTGAAGAAAATTTGCACCAAAACTTTTTATAAATATTTTACTGTAAATGCGACTAAATTTTGATGAAAAAAATCAGTTACACCGCATTTGAGAACGCCTATTGTAAGTAAAAGCGAAACGTTAGGATGAAACACTGACGGAAAGTCTAAGCCCGAAAAAAAATCAGTTTGTATAAAAATTTTAATATTGCGTAAGATGTACAAAAATCTATACAAAAAAAATCTGGCCAAAAAAATTGCAGCGCAAAAAATAACTATTCGTACTTATGTTTCGTAAGGAAACTAAGAAACCTGGTAGATCCCAGTAATTTGGCTCAAAAGCTGAGCGGACTTCACTCAAAGCAATCGACATATTTTCAAAATGTATTTGTTTTATTATCCGTTAAGTGCACAATAAACCTACATAAACTACACTATAAAAATAAACTAAAAATGTATAATTTAGAAAAGATCCATTGATACATTACAGTTACTGCATAATATATGGCATTTTAATGCTAGCATAGTGGTAAATCTAATTTCTTCAGTCGATATGTACAAAATCCTGCCTAGTGACTCCAAGCTGCTTTCCCCGTTTAAGAGCCATCCAATATTCTCGGGTTGAGAGAGCCAGACCTGGGCAAAAGCTCCTTCAAGGAATAATATCGCTCCGTATCTTCCTTATCCACTGAAGTGATGTGTTGGAAGCAGCAGGGCTGGGAAATGTGGCTCTTTGAAGGCAACGGCAGCGGCTTTTTCTCCTTTTTTTCCTTTTTCTTCTTTTTGCCTGAAAAACCTTTCCCATATCATCAAGGAATTTCACAAGTACGAAGCTTTTACCCGGAGTGCTTAATGATATGTTCTCCGGACAGGCCACTAGCTTTTCTATGTGGTTCCACATCTCTTCGGCTGCTGGTTTTGTGTCGAAACTGAACCCGGCTTGGATCGTGTGGTCGCTAGAGTATCGCATTGTGTGAAAAGAGCCGCCGTCCACTTGATACGAAGATAAATTATCTATTGTGTCCGACCACAGCATGAAACAGGTGCCTGGAAAATGGAAATCACATTTATCGAGAACTTTGGGAGTTTTCATTTAAATAACAATAGAAACTCACCTCTTTCAGCCAAAGCGATCTGAATTCGTCGCTTATCTCTGGCTCGAGATTCGCCACAGTCCAAAATAACAACTGGAATTCCGGTGTATTTCAACTGCCAGTCTTGGTCGCTTGGTCCTTTTGTGTACAAGTTTGCTAGAGAATTACTAACAAATACCTGGAAAAGGGTTGAAAACATGTTAAATCGAATAAAAAACGCGGTTTTGTATTTATTTTCTTAAACTTCTTTTTCGGTGAAAACGTGCACGTTTAACATATTTTTTGTAGTTACCAAGACAACGAATTTAAAATATTGGACGCAAATTCGAGTTTATGCGATTAATCTTGTCTAAAAAGTCAGAAATGCGTTTATTTTTTAAAATTCTTTTGGAAATTGTAAAAATTCGTTCAAGCCTAATTTTCTGCAGAGGAAATTTAAGAAAATGGTCGCAATTTGCATTCGATTTTGACCAAAAATGGTCGTGATTTTGCGTTTGATTTTGGCTCAAAATGCGAATAAGTTTTAAATTTTTTTCGCAATAAAAAAAGATTTAAATGGGCGCATATCCGCTTTGTTGGCCAAAATCGAATAAAAAACGCGGTTTTGTGCTTATTTTCTTAAACTTCTTTTTCGGTGAAAATGTGCAGGTTTAACATATTTTTGCGGTCACCAAGAAATCGAATATTTAAAATTGAAAAAAATGAACGAAAAATTGGTTCATGCCAAATTTTCTCCGGAGGGAATTTAAGAAAATGGTCGCGAGTTTGCGTTTTTGCATTCAATGTTGACCAAAAATGCGGATTCAAAAAATGGTCGTGATTTTGCGATTGATTTTTGGCCAAAATGCGAATAAGTTTTAAATTTTTTCACAATAAAGAAAGATTTAAATGGGCGATATCCGCTTTGTGGGCCAAAATCGAATAAAAAACGCGGTTTGGTGCTTATTTTCTTAAACTTCTTTTTCGGTGAAAATGTGCAGGTTTAACATATTTTTTTGCGGTCACCAAAAAATCGAATATTTAAAATTGGGCGCAAAGTCGAGTTTACGCGATTAATTTGGTCCAAAAACTCAGAAATGCGCTTAATTTTTTAAATTCTTTTGGAAATTGCAAAAAGTCGTTCATGCCAAATTTTCTCCAGAGGGAATTTACGAAAATGGGTGCAAGTTTGCGTTTTTCCCTTTGATTTTGACCAAAAATGCGGATTTAAAAAATGGTCGTGATTTTGAGTTGAATTTTGGACCAAAATGCGGATTTGTTTTTACATATTTTTGCAATTTCCTGAAATAGGAATTTAAAAAATGGGCGCATATCTGCTTTTTTGGGCAAACGCGGTTGCCAAGAAAACGAATTTAAAAAATTGGGCGCAATTTCGAGTTTACGCCATTAATTTTGTCTAAAAACTAGGAAATGCGCTGATTGCTGTAACTATTTTGGAAATTGCAAAAATTCGTTCAAGCCAAACTTTCTCCAGAGGGAATTTAAGAAAATGGGTGCCAGTTCACGGTTTTGTGTTTGATGTTGGCCCAAAATTCTGATCAATTTTTACACACTTTTGCATATTCCAGAAGAGGGAATTTCAAAAATGAGCGCATATCCGCTTATTTGGCCAAAATTAAATGAAAAACGCGGTTTTGTGATTATTTCCTGTAGGTAAAAATTGTCAGCTTCAACAATTTTTCGCAATTACCAAGAAAGGTAGTTTAAAATAATTGGTGCCAATTAGAAATTTTACACTTAATTGTCCAAAACGCGGAAAAGCGTCCATTTTCTTAACTCCTTTTTCTGGAAATTGGTCAAATTTGTCAAACCTTCAAATTTTCTCCAGAGGGAATTTTAGAAAGTGTGTGTTTTGCATTTGATCCTGACCAAAAATGCGGATGTAGGCCCATTTTGTTTAATTCCTCTTAGACAAAAATTGCAGCATTTACACATTTTTGCAATTTCCGGGAAAGGCAATGTAGAAAAATAGGAGCATATACGTGCTTTGAGCCAAAATCAACTGAAAAACGCCTATTTGCTTAACTTTTTAGACGCAAACGAGGTACAAATTCCTGACTTGTAACTAAAATTCTTCATCATAAATTACGATTTTTTTCCGAAACCGTTAAACCTAGAGTTTTTCACCAGAAAACCTTTTTGTGTAGACAACAATAGCATTTCAAAATAAAAGTTCAAATTGCCAATTTGGCCAGTGGCGCAGACACAGGGGGCAAAAGAATCCCACTCAACCCCAACATTTAACGCATGAAAAAATGCAGCTTTATGCTTGTAAGAAGCTGCTAGTATGAGATAAAAGTGTGTGAAACTTCAATTTCCTATCTGAAATAGTTCCTGAAATGTAGGCGAAAACGCCTACAACAACAACTTCTAAAGAACAAACACATTGTCCCTATAGACAATGACAAAAATATATTTAAATAACGAGCGATACAAAGTGAATCAGCTCCGGATAAAATGCGTAATGTTATCGCGCCCATTAATATAATCGAAAATAACAGATCTTCGATAGATTCTTTTTTAGAATACATCATTTAGATATATTGTTTGATAAACGGGGCGTGCCTGCGCAAATATTGTGTTCTTGACTTGAGGCGATAGCAGACGACACTCCCATATTTGTTGGTTCAATATCTTGTACCGTTGGTTGGCAAACACTTATGGATTTTTTTTATTTTCATCTACCTTAGACGAGCCAACAATTTCCAATTGAATCAAGATTAAGCAAAAGCCCGATAAGACTTCATTGGCCGCATGAGTGTTTGCCTCGTTCAATCCCAATAGTTTGTTACATTTTGCCGAAATTGCATCGCAAGTGGCTTGAATTGAGGAAACAATCAAACCGAATTAACAGAATGTCACGTTCTTGTCGTGTCTGAGCAATTAGTTCTGCCGATTGTTAATTTGCAGCGCGATTCTTTTCCGAACTGAAGACCCAAACTTGAAGGTTTCAAAACAAGTCATCGTATGTTAATTCCGCATTGTTGTGTAACACTTTTTTTGGGCAAACCTGTGTTTTAAGTCCCCGAAAAAAGGCTTCGACTTTCTGCCGTTCCAGTTCGCTAATGTGACCATCCAAAAGCTTCGGATCTTGTGTATCAGAGGAGGCTTCACTGTCTGCTCTTCCTTCGCTCCCATCGTGTTCACCATAGCTGCTGCCCGACGCTGTTGTACTTGAGTCTCCACTGTTTTCTCCTGAAAATAATTAAACGAGGGTTTAGATGAAAATGTTTTAGTTTTAGGCAATGTGGTTGGCAAATTACGTCTTGAAAAGTTCCTGGTTTAGATGAACAGTGTGGTTTTTTAGGAACATGTTTGCCTACTTAGTTCAGAATGGACACAAAAAATGCACGGCAGAAGAAATGAAAATCTGCCTAAATTCCTTAAAGAAGAAGTTGAAAGTTCAAAATCCACATATTTACAACGATGTTCCAGGTTTGATTCTTCAGGAAATTTTGTTTTTTTTTGGCTGATTCTCTCTGATGCTCGTCATGGTCCCCTTCTTTATTCATTCGTAAAAATCTGTTATGTCTAGAATCAAGTTTATTCGTTGCTTATTGCACGTCTTCTGGAACCAAAGGAAGTTGCAAGAGACTTTCTGAAGCATCAGTGACCGCTCAATTGGCTGCAAACCCAGCAGGAAACTACTTGCGATTGTAGACAGCGAAAAAACCCAAATGAACATGGAGGCAGAAAATAGGCGATAATTTCCTAAACCTCATGCATAGAAAAAACGACAATGGAAAAAAGTACTTAAAACTCGACTATCTCGATTGTTATGTACAATGAAACCTGTAATAGCTGCAAGTGATTTGAGACAATAAAAAGTCAACTAAAATTAGCGACTGAATCTCAACATTGTTCCTTTCAAATCAAGCCTGAGAACGGAAAAATCGGCCTGATATAATTATGATTATGATTGAATGGTATGCATGTATGGTGCATATCAAAAAGTCGTTTTCAGCAGTACTGTAGACACGTACTCATACTAATCAAGCATGTATGTAGCAGCGGTTTTTACAGGAACGTGACTCTTATCGGCAACAAGTCATTTCTTTGAACACCGGAAAAACGATAACGAACGTTAGTGACCAAACAGTACGGTATCTCCCACATTCTTCATATGATATCTTGTGAATATTTGATTTTATATTGTTTAATTTCAAAATATTAATATGGATGCAAACATACTGTTTCTATTTAAACGAGATTCATGCTATTATTTTGGCCGAACTGAAGAATGAAATGGAAATCAGTACCTGTGGACGAAAGGCGTCGTCTGAGCTGGTTCCTATGCAAAAAATCTTGATAAGAGTCGTATTTGTGCGAAAGTCTCTCCATGGCGATGTCTGAAGATGGGGCAGTATTCTCGGTATTTCGAGACGACGATATTGATAAATGCGACATTCGTCTTTCGATAGGCAGACATGTGGGGGTGTAGATAAAGCGGTCGTTCGGCTTCATTACAAATTCACCTGCAAAAAATAACTTACTTAATTATTTAAAACACTTCAGTAGAAAGTTGTTTAAATTTGTCTGACCCCTACGCAAAAAAACTTTCGATTATTACCTGTTGGATGGTAAAATTACACTTTTTAACAGTCGTTACAGAATCTTCTGTTCCTAAAGATGAAGACAGCCATTGGCTAACTGATAATTGCTAGTGTCCACAAATTCACTTCCCCTTTCATTATTGACACATCCTAACTGTAATCTTTGGCCAGTTTCGGTACTTGGTGATTAGCGGAATTTTATCATTAACTATTGATTTAGGTTCATTTCGTTGATATATAGGGTGTTTTTATAGTTGCCAGACTAAGAACGTTAAACATAGGCAAAATGGGACTAAACAGATCATTTGAATATTAATCAAGTTTCTAGTTGGTGGATTTTTAAGATTTAAAGCCACTTTAATTGTGGATTGTGTTGTTTTACTTATTCAGCTAATTAAAACGAAGACTAAGCAGGTCAGTATATAGAAGAATTTGTACCGTTTGAGCAGTTTTGTGCAAATACAGTTAAATATAAAATTGGCCCAGTTTGGTGCCATTAGGCATAGCCTGTTTCTGTTGTTTTAACAAGCGAATGGTTCAGATATGCCGATTTTCAAGTAAAATGGCTCAAAATTTCCTCCCCTTGTTCAAAAAAGCAGTAAACTGTGGGAAAAAACTTCTTGAGGTTTTGGCATTTTTAGCCCAGAATAGTCTTAGTTGCCTAAAATCAGGATTCACCACTATTCTAATGAAATTCACACAACTTTTAGACTGAAGTGTTTCTTATAAACGGGTAGAATTTCGAGTTCCGCCTCGATTGCAATCGACAGATGGGAATGTTTAAAAGAGCCCGTGCACTTGTGCAGCAACTTGCATTTTTAGATCAGCATAGACTTGATTGGCAAAAATCAGAATTATCCACGATTTCTATAAAATTCCCAGAACTTTTAGGTTGAGGTATCTTCTATAGATGGTGCAAATTTCAAGTTGCTCTTGGATCGCAATCAAAAGATGCACATTTTTCAAAAAGCGCGTGTAATCGTGTGAAAATATGCAGTTTAAGGCCAGCATAGACTTAGTTGCCTAAAATCAGCATTTACCAGTATTCTAATGAAATTCACTCAACGTTTAGACCGAAGTTGCTCCTGGACCGCAATCGGAAGATGGTAATTTTTAAAAGAGCGCGTGTAATTGTGTGGCAACTTGCATTTTTAGATCAACATAGACTTGCAAAATTGGCAAAAATCAGAAGTATCCACGATTTCTATAAAATTCATAGAACTTTTAGGCTGAGGTATCTTCCATAGATGGGGAAAATTTCAAGTTGGTCTTTGATCGCGATCAAAAGTAGCACATTTTTCTAAGAGCGCGTGTAATTGAGTGACAACTAGATCAGCATAGACCGAAATGGCAAAAATCAGTATTCTTCACGATTCTAATGAAATTCGCATAGCTTTTAGACTGAACTGCTGTTGATAGATGGAGAAAATTTCGAGTTGCTACGTCAGCAGATCGATATTTTTAAAAGCGCGCGTAATTGTATGACCACTCGCATGTTTATGGCAGCATAGACTGAATTGGTAAAAATCTGCATTCACCACGATTCCAACGAAATTGACACTACATTTAGGTGAAAGTGTTTTCTATGGATGGCTAAAATTTCAAATTGCCCTTGGGGCGCAATCGGAGGATGAGAATTTTTAAAAAAGAGAATGTATTGTGTGAAAATATGCATTTTTAGGCCAGCATAGACTTAGTTGCCTAAAATGAGTATTCTCTACTATTCTAATGAAATTAACACAACTTTTAGATGGAAGTGTTATCTATACACGAGTAAAATTTAAAGTTGCTCACCTATCGCAATCGAAAAAGGGGAATTTTTAAAAGAGCGGGTGTAATTGGGCGGCAACTTGCATTTTTAGATCAGCATATACTTAATTGATAAAAATCAGTATTCTTCATGATTCTTATAAAATTCGCAAGTTTGAATTAGGTCTGATCAATCAAAACTCCTCAAGCGACAGAACATTTTCAGTCTCAAATGGCGAAAAATTCGAAAAAATTTCAAGATATACAAAATTTCTTCTCATTGGCTGTTGTCATCTTGCATAGACATGCTCAAAATCAAAGCCATGTTTCCAACAGGGCAGAATAACGGACAAATTTTGTCAACGTTTTCTCATCTAAAAAAACACTCTGCACTTAAAATTTGATGTGTCGTTTATAGTTTCCCGGTTAAACCAAGTTAGAACTGTGATGTCATAAAACAGCAGCAGAATGGGCTCCAGTTAAAAAATAATGACGTTAATAAAAGAAAGTTCACTGCCCTTATGGCTGTAACATTCCGACTGAGGCAGTTGAAATTTAATTATTTGTAATTAGCATTTTACGGCTCAAATACAGGACGGTTTTGCAACTAAATCAGCCACTTTTAAATAGAAACTCCGTTATAATATTTATATGAGTAACAATGACAATGCTGAGTGTTTCAGGCTTTTAGATGAAAAACTCCTCTGCTTCAAACAAGGACAATCTTAATTTAGATACTTGAAGCCTATTAGATACAATCATAAATTCCCTCGTCACGTAGGAAAGTACGACCTATCATAACGTTATCTCCGTTGTCAGCTTTCCTTTAAACACTTTATCAACTAATTTTATTTGGATCTCCTTCCTTTGAATCGCACTACTGAGTTACGTCAACGTTATGCATTTGCCCATAGTCCAATTACGAAATATGCACCATAATTAGCGTAAGAACGTGGAATCGTAAAAAGCAGCAATCAGATTGTGACGAAGCTGAAAATGCCGAAGAAGTAAAACATCGAACGCCCATTGCCTGTACAGTTGCATTTCCGTTAGACTTTGTACTTAGTGAAGAACCACAATTTTTACGCCTAAATCATCCGATGCATTCAAGTTAAATTACCTCGTTAATTACTAGATGAAAATCTAAAAAGTGCAACTTTTCCGTTTAGATTAGCACGAAAAGATATTTGCTGACATAATTTGAGGGCAAAGTTCGCCTGAAATTGTACGCGTTCAATTGTGCGAAAAGTGGAACAGCCACTGAATCTGTTCCCGTGAGGAAACATCTACATAATCGAGTGAAGATTTATAAGGAAAATGCTTATAATCTGTGTGAGAATGCGGGTCCAATTAAGTATTCAACAATGAAATAAAACGTTGGTTTTTCATTTTTCGTACTACTGACCCCAAATCCGAAAACGCCCCGAGTCAAGTGAAGAAAGTAATTTCTCCGGTTCTTTTCCGTCCTGTCTGGCAAGTGCTATCACTTTTTTCCATTCATCATGGCACTCGTTTCCTTGTTTGTCAGGTATGATTCATTTTTTTTTCATCTAAGGCAAGTGTTCTTAATAGTTTTGCTTTGGGTTTCGTTGTCGGCACATCGCACATGGAGCTTTAATTATTCCACATAAACTCGCTATTCATTGCTGAAAAGAATAACACTTTTCCTGTTCTACGTTTACGAATGCGGTTTCAGGTGTTTTCGCTGGTAATTTGCAAATAACAATCTGCGTATTATGCTAATTTAGTGGATTTAATTAACAACTGGGCATTTTACCACGTTAGACATGAGACGAAGCAGGCCTGTTATAACGTATCAATTTTCAATAGGTATTTGGCTTTCCAATTCTCATCATTCATATATTTTCGTCCTCTCCTGTACAATATTTGTTTAATTAGTAAATAAAAGCGCTTCAAAGGAAAATACAGTTCTGTCGTCTCCAGGTTATTTTCTTTGCAAAGGAGTTTTTTGTCCTTTACAGCCCTGAAAAGTGTCTAGTTTCTCAAGGTTCATTGCTTTTTAACGATGATTTTATTAACGTTTTGTCATAACGTGTACTGAGGTTGTTGGCAAGATTTTAAGTAAAATTGCTGAGTTTATCGCGCATTTAGATCGTAGCGAAAATTTCTTGCAGACGTTTCGCAAGCACGAGTGGCTTGCATCTTCCGAGCTGGTTTGCTGGGCGAATCTCGTAAAACTCAGCAGCTTCATGACCGCCAAAGTCGATTCTTTAGATATTCCGAGTGGATATTTTTTAACATCTTTAAAGCGCATCGAATACTGAAGGTCTCATTAAGTGGATGATATCATCCAAATGAATCAACGGCTAATATCCGCGATTCTGAGTATTTTATGACTGTAGGTGGAAACATAGTGGAACAATAAATAGTAAACACCTTAGTTTTTTAGGTGGATTTATTAGCATAATTGTTTGTTTGCATCAGATTCATTAATATTGTCTCGATTGTTTCAAGTTTGCTATTTTTTCATCTCTAGTTTTGGATCTTTTGGTCTAATATTTGACACAGTTTTTGCCTTATAAGAGTTCTGGAGTTGTCGCTTTTAAAAATAACTAGAAATATATTTGTTTTACATTTTTTTGTTAACAAGTAACCATTCCCAATACAAATTTGTGGTCGAATAGTAAAAAGCCCCGCGTTTTTAGAGCCAGCTTTTAAAAATTCATAACTTCCAACGTAAAGCCGATATTAAAGTGAAACTTTGCCTGTTGATGGAATGAGCCCTTCTTTGCACATGGAAAAAATTCTAATCAATTTCCACAGTCTGTTGATTTTTTCAAAATTAGACAAGGGACAATTTTTGCAGCTTAGTGCTTAAAAATTCAAAGCTTCCAAGAATCTCAAGTTTTCTAGATACCACTTCGCATTCCATCTGAAAATGATATTTTTAAAAAGTGGAGCAAGTTTCAATGAATTTCGAATTTCTGTTGATTTTCTGTAAATTTCTAAACTTGCTGTTAACTCAAATGAGACAACTTTTTTGTATGTTTGGGTTAAAAAACTAATAACTATAAATACAGCAACTAAGAAATAATGTTTGCACAAAAAATTGTATTCGAAATGTGCAAGTTTTACATTAATTATACACCTTCTATAAACTTGGGGATATTTGCAAATTTACTGTTGCACCAAACAGGCCAACCGTTCTCGCG